ATATATACGATATATATAGAACATTTACGATATATATAGAACAATAATGTTTTAATTAGATGTTTAAATCTAATTCTAAGAACTCCACATTGTTTATTCATACAAATTACTAGTATAATCCGAGTTAAATAAATTACTAGTATAAACCACAATTTAAGAAATACATTGCAAAGCTTTTATATTAAGCACATGTTATTACGATATTACTGACAGCTCTGATACCATATTGGATTAAAAAAGTAAAGATTTTAATCTAAACAATTTTTTTCATTTTCTCGACATAAACTCTTTACAAACACGTATTAATGCGTACTTAAATCATAATACTTTAATGATGGAAAAGGATTTTTGAATCTCTGAAAGAAAAAAAAAAAAATTTTTATTAAAAAATTATTGCGTTATTCGGTAATACAGACGATTTTAGGATTCTCTTAAAGACTCTTAAAAGATAATCATTAATTAACTTATAATTCTTTAAAAATGTGCATCTTATTCAGTATTATTCAATTCCAGCGAGTTGCTCACTTGTACCATGATAACCAAATCGGTCATTACAGTTCCCAAAATCTTAAATGAGAAAATATATATATATATATATACATATAATGCATTTACAATGTGATATGGATAGATTAAATATATTTTTATATTTTTTAAAAATATGAGAACAATATTATTGAAGTTCTTTATATCTTATATCTTTATAGTTACATATATTTTTAATTACATAATTTAATTTTGCAATTTTATTTGCTGTAACAACGTTTTACACGCAACAATTAGATACAAACCATAGTTAAGATACGATAATCTATCGTAAGACCAAATACTGAGAATGTCACCGGACTTTGTAAAATTTGAATACCAAACTGTTGAATCTGAAACAATGGTGGATAATTATGTATAATACATAAATATATAATTGCAATCAATTATACAGAATGTTCAAAAAAGATCGGGATTTACTCGAGAGAATGATGTTTTTGAAAGAAATGTTTCAGATAAAAATTATAAGATATAAAAAGATCTATTTATAAGTTATAAGATATTAGTTATAAGATATAAACAGATCTCAGTTTGATCTTGGATGGCGTCGTCAAAATCAGGTCAAGATCAAATCAATTTTTTTAAATGAGACACCCTATTTTTGATGTCAGAATCAAATAGCTGATGTCAAAAGCTTTTCAAAATATTGTAATGAAGTTATTTTCCATTAAATACTTTTCAAATTATAAAAGTTGAAAGTTACAGTACCGCCGACATTAGCATTATGTAATGACCGACGACTAAATCCTTTTGAATGTTATTCAGGATCATGTCCTGGATAACATTTTTCAAGATGAAGGCCATTGGAGATTATATCTTATTTTAATTTTTATTGTAAAAATGAATTTTTAGTGCAAAAGTGAGAATAAGAGACGGTTGGACACCTTAATCGTGTAATACTAATGTCAGCGATACTGTAATTTTCATAACTCAAAAAGTACTTAATGAGAAATAAATTTATTATAGTGTTTTAAAAAGCTCTTGATACTAGTTATTAAATTCTGACAAAATAGGGTGTTCCATTTTAAAAAATCGATTTGACTTTGGCGACGTCATCCAATTAAACTAATAAGATCTACCTATAAATAGATCTTTTTATAATTTTACAACTTTTGTCTGAAACATTTCTTTAAAAAACGTCATTTTCGAGTAAAGGGTCTTAAGCTTTTTTGAATATCCTGTGTGTGTGTGTGTGTATGTATATATATATATATATATAAAATGTTATACTTCGATATTTATGAGATTTATTGATCATCGTAATT